AAGATCAACCCTGAACCTCTGTCGGTGCCAGACCACAAACTCCACCTAATCTGGAGTTCATCTTTCTGTCTGTCTGTAAGCAGCCATCCTTCCCTGGCTCCAACCTGCCGCTGTGGGGTTCAGGATCGACCTCACTATTGAAAGAAATTGGGATGAACAAGCCGGAAAGATGACTTGGTGGTTGAGTGTGTGATGTTCTCTTCCATAGGACCAGAGTTTAGTTCTTAGCATCCCTAACAGACAGCACCCTGGTGTGCACACACACACACACAGATACACAGATACACACACAGACACACACACATACATGCACGCAGGCATAGCCGTAACTAAAAATAAAACAAATCTTTAAAAACAGAAGAGAAAAATGAAACGGAGGGCCAAGACTAAAAAGCTGAGTCAGTGGAAAGAGGATGACAGTTCTGGACCCAGAAAATTCTACAACATTCTCCTTTCACACAGTAACTCCAGGACCTCTTCTCTGGAACTCACCGCCAAAACCTCAGTGACTCTCCTTCCGCTTCCATGATTTTTTATTATCACTAAATATACATCCATCTTTTTACTAATATTAACTGTGGGTGTACATTTGTTTTGTTTTCATTTATTTCTTTTTGGAGCGGTGGTGAGCAAAGCCGGGGTCCTCACTGTCCTGCCGTGGCCTACCCCTGAAATGTGCTCCTACAGCTACATTTACTTAGTTTTTAAACTTATTTATTTTGTGATCGGTCCTCATCATACAGCCCAGGCACAGCAGAAATAAAGAAAGAAGCCAGGAGGTGGTAGCACACGCCCTTAATCCCAGCACTCGGGAGGCAGAGCCAGGAGGATCTCTGTGAGTTCGAGGCCAGCCTGGTCTAAAGAGCGAGTTCTAGGACAGGTCCAAAACTACATAGAGAAACCCTGTCTCAAAAAACCAAACCAAACAAACAAACAAACAAAACAAAGAAAAGAAAAAAGAAAAAAAAGAGAGAGAGAGGTAGTGGTAGACTACCTGTGTGCCCCAGCAAGGCTGGCCACTGATGGACCACTGGCCTAGAATCCCCCAGTGAGGGGCCGAGAGCACGTGATAGAACACTTACTTGCCTAGCACTTAGGGACTCTGTGTTCCATCTCTTGTACCATCAAAGACATATAAAGATGCAGTCTCCTCTAAAGTTGCTACGCCGGCCTCATAAGGGGGTGCCCCATGTCAAGCAAGGTCTCTCCCCTTTCTACCGAGTTATCCCACTGTCCTTAGAGGCCCCACCCTCTTGCGGTCAGCAAAGGCTCCCAGAGAGATTCCCGCTTGCTCATCCAGCTTCAAACCCCTGGGGTCCATCCTGGAAGGGCCTTCAAAGGCCTTGGCCATTCTTGAGTGGATGCCAGTACAGAATCGGCTCTTGGAGGCAATTTAGCCAGCCACACGGGTGGAAAGAATGTCCCCATTCTCTTAACAACGACCCCCTCTTGATTTATATGTGGGGGCCACTGTCCGAAGGCCCCGGGCGGATGGATCCTGAGTGGAAAATGAGAGGCCAAGAGCCAGGCGTCTGGCTGGGCTAATTATCCTCAATGAGATACAGCTGGTTGAGAGGAGCAGGCTGAGGCCCGGGTAGGGCCAGCTCCCTGCCCCGGCTCTCTGGGGACCCAAAGGCCTGTCTGGGCTGGCAGCCCATCACCTACCAGGTCCGGTCAGGGTTCATGAAGATTCTAGGAGATCCAGTTTGGCCAGTTTTATAAGAAAAACAAAAAAACAAAAAACAAAAAACAGAAAGTGGCCTCAGTGTGGGATTAGCTGCTGCCCTGAGCCATGATAGTCCCTAAAACGCCAAGGGACACCTGAATTCATTCTACTTATGGGAGACTGAAGACTTGGCTGGCCAGGTAGGCTGGGTGAAGCCCTGAGGGGCGTGGGAGGGGACCCTCTGGAGCGGATTGCAGTACCAGCTTTGGCCACATGAGGCGCATAATTGTGTAGCGGCCTCCATAGGCCTTGGGGCTCCATGCTGGATCTCTGGGCACCCTGGAGATGAACAGACTTTGACTCTACCATATACTAGGACTACTGCGGAGGTCCAGGGACATTGTAGTGAGCAAAACCACCCCCGCCGCCATGAATCCCCGCTCTTTTGGACTTACAATTCCCAGCAAAAGTACCTGGTGAGCCCGTCAGCCTGACAACCTGAGCTCTATCCTGCAGGAGAAAAGCAACTCAACGTAAGTGGTCCTCTGGACTCCACGTGAGCATTCAAGCAGGTGCTCAGGCATGAACTGAACTGAGACCACAGCCAGGCTGGAGCAGGAGAGGGAGAGTTCCAGAGGAGTCGCCAAGAGCAAAGGCCCTGGGTCCAGAGGAAGGGCCAGGAACAGCAGGAGTACGGCCAGAAGTTCTTACAGAAGTTCTTTGGTTGTTGTTTTGCAGAACTGAGGACTGAACCCAGGGCTTCAGGCATACTGGTCTGGTGCTCTACACTAAGCCACGCCCCCAGCCCCTCACTGGGGATTCTAGGCAGGTGCTCTACCACTGAGTCACACCCCAGACCCTCACTGGGGGATTCTAGGCAGGTGCTCTACCACTGAGCCACCCCAGCCCCTCACTGGGGGATTCTAGGCAGGTGCTCTACCACTGAGCCACACCCCAGCCCCTCACTGGGGGATTCTAGGCAGGGGCTCTACCACTGAGCCACACCCCAGCCCCTCACTGGGGGATTCTA